TCATCACCTTATATGCTTATATTCAATAAGCATTCAAGGTTTATACAGCTTGGAGGTGGTCATCATAAAAATGATGATATGGTCAAAATACTTGCCTAATAATTGTGCACACAGTGTATAGAATTTACTTCTATATGTTTATTTCAGCAAATACTGGTAACCCAAACTGAAAAGGTAGCTGAAAGTAATTACAACTGCCTACTACATATGCACCAGGCATTCCTTCATATTTCTAAATCCATGACTTAACATAATTTTCAATTGCGTGCATATATAAATGGAGTTTCTCTAAAGGTCTGATTCTGAATAAACAGCTATGCTATTAAGTGTGCAGGGTTTTCTTGGGTGTACAGTTTCCCGGAATTTTTTTATTCTGAAGGTGTAGATGATGGAATTCATGACTGAACTGGAATGTGAGAATACATAGATTTACAGCATGGTGGGATGTTTCAGAAAGGGGAAAAACTTTTTTTTAAAACCTTTAGCCACCCTTTGTATCTTACCTTATAAAAAGAATAATATATTTATAGAAGATGAAGAGGAAAGTAATGGAGAAAATGGGGTTACTTTTGAACCCTTGAACATTCCTTAGATATTTTTGAAGTAAAAGCCTTATTTGTACTGCTTATTTTATTAAAAGAAATTGGGAATGGCAATTTTTCAAAATTGGACTGACTGCAAAATATTGGTAATTAAAAGGCTGGTATAAGTTAGTGTCCTGTAAAAGTTCTACTGGAATTATTTAAGCTAGAAACTCTAGATCTAAATGCCAATTTTATAGAAAAGTGAGAGTAGTAAAAAAACAATTTTTATATAGACTTGTGTAGGAGTATATTCCTAAATATAAGTAAAAACTCTGAATCAAGCTTGACTGTAGACTTCAAAGACAATTCTAAATGTTATCATTTTTATATACTGGTTTCTACATAGCAGATATGGTTGAGCGTGAGGGGAGCCCCTATTAGAAATGTGCCCATCTGATTTTGGGACCAGCATCAGCTACAATCCTGATATAGGGGAGTGGCTATTGTTATCTGGGAGACATGTGGTTTTCAGGGGTGGTGTTCCACAGATAACCAGAAGTGAAACCTTGTTCTTGGAGTTGGGCTTTAGGTATCAGATGGCTTGCTGCTACTGTACCTGGTTCCCTGTTGCATAGCTACCTTCCTACCTGAACTGCTGGATGTCATAGGTGGGTTGGAATTGGAGTTCCCCCTGGTTATCGAAGGGGAACATGCTCCAAATATGTTTTGTTTCAGAGCAGTGGTGGTATGATCTGGAATTTTTCTTTTGTGTTAGACAGATCACTTCCTGTTAATTGTGAAGTTTTCTGTGGGTACCCTTTGCTACAAAGAAGAACATGTTAGTTTGGTCCACCTAGGTACCTGATGGACCCTGTTGGTTTTGAGAGGATACTTGGGGTTGTCCTGGGGTCCTGGTGCATGGTTTGACTGAAGTCTTAGTTGTTACTGGGAATGGGCAGGGAATCACAGTCTTGGATCAGACCATGCCTATGCGGGCTGTCTGTCCATGGATCCCAGGGAGCTCCCTGGTTTTTCAGAGGTACTCCGGGAGATGAAATTACAAGAACTGCCTAGAGCATTGCTAGTGGAAGACAAGGAGAAAATCTAATGCAAGGGCAAAGTATTAACTTATGGCAATAAGAGCAGTGAAATGTGTTTCTCTGCCCTTACTGCCTTCATATTGTCAGCCAGTGACTTAGTTAAGGTGGCCCAGTTATTTCTGGGTGGTGAAAGACCAGGGGAAGCACTTGCTAGGCATGCTGCCCCAATCTCATTTTTTCAACCCCCAGAGGCATCCCTCAAGACGACACTGCCAGAATTCTGTAGCAAAATTATGTCCTATACATAGCCCTCCCCTTTTTCTTTAATAAAGGGGAGGGGCTTTATGAATCCTGCTTGTTAATCCCCTCATTTTTTGCAAAAGCAAAACAAAACAAAATGACACCGTGCCACAGTGAAAAGGAAAATAGACATAAATGACCACAGGATGGCAACAGTGTCCCATAGGAAATCATTCTCCTGTGACCTTGCTGTGTTAAAGAAATCATATGTGCTGATTTCTCACACAAGTGGTGACATGGGTGTGCCCAGCCTATATCCTCCCACACCCTTTTTCTGGTGGTGGAAAAAATATATCCTCTTTTGAGCTGCTTCTACTTGCTCTAAAAATGTATACTACAATTGTTTGCTTGTTCAGCTACTCCATAGATTGCCCCACTATTGGATATCCAATAATAGGATGACTTTGTTTTTATTTGTATATATAGAATAATTGAGCTATAGAATTGTGGAATTGGAAGGGACCACAAGGATAATCTAGTCCAATCCTCTGCAATATGCAGGAAAATCTATTAAACCATCCTTGAGAGGTGGCCATTTAGCCTCTTAAAATTTCCCAAGATGGAGAACCCACAGCCTTCATAGGTAGACTGCTCCAGTGTTGAACATATCTTACCATCAGGAAATTCTTCCTTATATATAAGCAAAATCTAGGGAGCTGATATTTCATCCATTATTTCTGGACTTAGTTTTTGTGGTGATGGAAAATAATTCCTGATCATTTTCTCTATGGCATCCTTCTGTGTACCTCTCTCAAGTCTCCCCACAATCTTCTTTTCTCCTGACATTTCTTCAGCCTGATCTCATAGTACATATTCTCAAGTCCC